TATCTCTGATATCTATTTCCTCATGCAACTTTTCAGGACACATTACTGGAGAAGTATATGACCAAGAATTCGTTCAGCGATCAACAACCTATCAACATAGGCCGACCAAAAAAATCGTTATTGGTACGTTTACTCGACATCAAGACTGGTAAACCACACATCATCCTATATACATTCTCCGCTCTCCTTATCGACCCGAGATATCTCTTCTTGTCTCAACAGGTTGTTCTTTGTTGGTTATGTATCCTGGCTTTTGGCATTGTTAAATTCTTCCAATGGTCTGCACTCCTATCCTCGTGGGAGGGCATTGCATTCCTAGCTGCCCTCTTGGTTCTCATAATCCTCGTTATGCAATTGCTCATTCATTCTTCGAAGTCGACACGTTCGACACCCGTCAATCTGTCGTCCCAAGATCCAGCCAAGGAACGGCTACTTCAAAAATGAGATAAGATAATAAGCCTGTCATGTGGCTATACAAAATGCATCATCATCACGGTACTCATTCATATTCATTCATTCCATTCTTTGTTCAGTGTTTAGTGATTCTTTCAACACCGAAGTGTAGTATGTGTGTCTGTCTAAAGCATCATTCCACTTCAGGCACTTCAAGTCATGTGTAGCTGTATTACAACTTACTGTTTGTATAGCCATGTTTCTGATGCTGCACTGCAATTGTAAGTTTTTTTTTTTTTTTATTCGTGAGTGTTCGAGCCATACTACAAATATCACGAGTGTTTAATTCTAGATAAATTACGAGCCAAGCTCGTTTAAGTTCTATTCTATCCCATTCAATGTACTCTCGTTCCAATATTTCAATAATTTGTTTTTTCAAATAAAAAAGTATGCAATATCAATATCATTTTGATCCTAGCTCAACTTTAAAAAAAAAAAAATAAATAATAAGATATGGTTTAATGATATTCATAGACTTGTGCTTTTCTAATAAGAAGGATTATATATATTAAAAGAGATATAATTTCGTTAATTTATTTAAACTTATTACTACAAAACAGGGTTGTTGATATGAACTAGGGACATCAATCATACAATATTTTTGAAATTATCATTTCAATTCATGCTACATTGAAGAAGAATGAAGTTTCATGTGATAAATTTTGGGTGGATTACAATTTAGAGTTATTGTATTTCACTAATGTATTTTAAAAGTTTTTATTTACTTTAGGTTACAATTACATAATGGTTAATTATGACCATCAAGTATGAATGTAACAATTCTTGGAATGACTTTAGTAGTTTCATTTTGAAACTATATAAAACCATGTATATTGTATTTATAAGTAGACTTGGAAAATATAATAAAAGAAGCAGTATATTGTGCATTTGTGTTCTTCTTTAGCCAATGATTAAGTTTATTTGCAATTCTACGTAGTTTAGGTTGCATGTAGAATTATTCATGCTCGACATGATCAATCTTGCTTGTGGAGTGATTCGAATCTCAAACAAGTGTTTGAGATATTTGATCAACAAGAATCATTCAAGCTAGACATGATCGATTTTGCTTGTGGAGTGATTCGAATCTCAAACAATGTTCTTGTCTTGAGATATTCAATCAACAAGGTAATCTGAATCTTACTCCCCTTATATTGATTTCCACATATCAGTTGTAATGGTCCAACCCCTGACGGATATTATTCTTTTTGGGCTTATTCGAGCTTTCCCTCTCGGGCTTTCCTTCCTTCAAAGTTTTTAAGTATGTTAAAGGAGAATTTTCACACTCTTATAAACAATGATTCGTTCTTTAATGACATGAGATCTCACAATCCACCCCCTTTGGGGGCCCATTGTCCTTGTTGGCACACCGCTCGGTGTCCACCTCCCTTTGGGACTTAGTATCCTTGTTGGCACATCGCTTCGTGTCCACCCCCTTCGGGACTCAGCCTCTTCACTGGCACAACGCCCCATGTCTGGCTCGAATAAATAAGACAGAAAAATAAATTATGTTTTTTTTTTTTTCAATTCTCTCTCTTTTACAAATGGTTGCTAATAAATAGCAATATGTTTTCTATTATACTTGATATAAAAAAAAAAAATAATAAAAATAAAAATAAATAAATAAATAAATAAATAAAAGATTTTTGTTCATTATTTCATTATTTCTAAAGAAAATGCAAACGAGACCTGAAAATGGAAGCTTTTCTGGATTGGATTACCCATTACAGTTCGATGTCTCCGTCTCTAGCTGCTATGGCGAAGGGCAATTTCGTCAGAAAACTACACCTCTCTTTAGCCACACCTCGGTCCTATGGAAATGGTCTTTCCTCTTCCTGAAGCTCTGATTTGCCGAAACTTTCTATATTTTTCTGCGAGTTTCTATTTTGAGATTTGAGATCTTGACCTATCGGAACCGCCTTCTTCCGCCGCCTGCGAACTCTATCTTCTTTCATCTCTCAGGTGAACTTTTTCTATCTTTAGCTCTTTCTTTTACATGCGTTTTGATTCCATTTTGCTGGGCGCTTCCTTAGGGGTTTTGTTTTTCACCTTTATTTGCACTATCTGTTGGATTTCTGTGGGTTTGCTGTGGGATTGTGGTTGAGAAATGCTCCTAAAATAGGTTAAATTCCAAACTAGCTGCTCTAGATGCCTGTGGAAAGTGGCTCAGCTGTGTTTTTCATCTTTATCTTCAAATCCAGGGAAGAAATTGAGATTGTTGGGAATGGTTGAAACTAGCATATGTTTTGCTGCCAGTTCTTTTGATGGATTATTATTTGTAATGATGGGACTCTTTTCTTTTTTTGCTTGCAAATGTTTGACCCGAAAGTATGTGTGTTGTGCTGATTGTGAACATTCATCGTTTCCCTTTTCCTACTTCAGCTTTTGTTTTAACTGCGCTAAGTGTTAGAGGATTGGTGTGTTAGAGGATTGTTGAGAGAGGAATCTCACCTTGGCTAATTAAGGAGTTGATCATAGGTTTATTATAAGTAATAAATACTTCTCCATTGGAATGAGGTCTTTTTGGAAAACCAAAAGCAAAGCCATGAGAGTATATACTCAAAGTGGACAATATCATACCATTGTGGAGATTCGTGGTTCCTAATATGGTATTAGAGTCATGTCTTAACTTAACCATGTCAATAGAATGCTCAAATGTCGAACAAAGATGTTGTGAGCCTCGAAGGTGTAGTCAAAAGTGACTCAAGTGTCGAATAAAGGGTGTACTTTGTTCGAGAGCTCTAGAGAAGGAGTCGAACCTCGATTACGGAGAGACTCTATGGTTTACTTTGTTTGAAGGGAGGATTGTTGAGGATTATTAGGTGAGGAGTCTCACATTAGCTAATTAAGGGTTAATCATGGGTTTATAAGTAAGGAACACATCTCTACCGGTATGTAGCCTTTTGGGAAACCAAAATTAAAGCCACGAAAATTTATGCTCAAAGTGGACAATATCATATCATTGCGGAGGTCCGTGGTTCCCAATACTATGTTGACAAAGTTAGGATATATTTGCACAAGGCCCAACGAGAAAATGACATTAATAGGAGTTCTAGTTGTATGATACCATGTTAAAATCACAAAATCTTGAAGTTCAAACTGATGGATTGCAATATATTTAGTTTATTCTGCATATTCTTAAATCGTAGCATCTTGTCATGAAAGGTAGAACATTCTTGTACCATTGTGATTTGGATGGATCTAGAATAATATTCATTCTCTAAATAACTTGAATGAGGTTATTGAACAATAGGTGAAAGAACTGCAAGATTGTTGGAGAGAAAATTTGTTCTTGTGAATGAACTATTATGAATTATGAAGAACTCCTGCGTTGGGCAGGACCTATGGACTTGATAAAACTAACTTTTTTACTGTTCCTTATCTGATTTGATGTATGTATGTGTGATGCTCAGGATATCTGAGAATAGTGTGATGGTTAAAGCATACGCTCAGGAGTACACGTACGAGCACTCGTGGGAACGGGTAACCTCTGCATCTTGGCGTAAATTTGTGGACTCTGAAAACAGGCGTACGTTGTCCCATATTCTTGAAGTCGACACCTTAAACAGAAAGGTTGACATTGAATCTGGGAAGCTATATACAACCCGTGCTATTACCATCCATGCGCCTGGCCATGGTTTGTTCGTAAAATTGTTGGTCAAGATACCTGCCATTGCGTCGAATCCACGGTTGTAGATGCTCGGTCACGCTCGATGCAACTGACCACTCAGAATATTAGCTTTCAGAAGTTCATAGAAGTGGTGGAGAAGATTAGATATGAACCTCACCCTGATAATCCGAACGGATGGACAATGTGCAGACAGGAGACGAGTATTCGTATCAAGCCATTGTCAGCGTTGGCGTCGATGTCCGAAAAAATGGAGCATCGGTGTGCTGAGAGGTTCATGCAAAACAGTGTGAAGGGTAGAGAAGTGATGGAGAGGATTTGTAAGTATCTTGAAGCTGGATCTAGCGGATTCACTGTCTAGCTTTGCTTCCTCTCATTGATTATGTACTGGTTCTTCAAAGGGGTCAGTGAGATCATGGTCTGTTTTCCAAGCTGTTTTTAACGAAATAATTCGCATGGAGAAACATGTTTACTGGCTTTCTCTCTCGGGCTCCCCTCATCCCCTCGAGGTTTATTTAACCAATGCGAGATTCACAATCCCACCTCTCTTGAGGGCCAGCACCTCTCTTGAGGGCCAGCATCCTCACTGGCTTAGTGATCGATGTCTTGCTCTGATATCATTTGTAACAGTCTAAGCCCACTGTTAGCCGATATTATCTTCTTTACTCAAGATTTTAAAACACTAAAGAAATAATATTTCATTCTTCTCTTTAACCCTGTATCTCATGCAACTTTTAGAAATTTTTTAGTGTTAGCAAAAGTTTGAGTAGTGTTTGAAAACTTGAAGGTTCTAAAAAATAAAAGCCAAATCAAACAAACTTTTTCCTAATTTCTTCTCTTCAACCAACAATCAACGTGTGATCTTCACACAACTTTTAGAAATTTTTTAGCGTTAGCAAAAGTTTGTAAAAAGGTCCAAGAATAAATTCAAGAACTGATGCTTACAAACAAATCAAACATAGGCAGCATTCGTTCATATATGCATTCCTCAGAACGCCTTATGACACAATACAGTCGTGTAACACGCTTCTGATGACAACGTTAAACCATTAGAACAACGAACAACGAGAAAAACACTGAAACCGACATATTGCTTCCTACATTTTTTTCAGACTGCAGAGATGCAACGATTGCCATTACCTCCTCCAAATAGAACAATACACAACGGGTTAACAAGATATGCATGCAGCAAAGCAGAAATCATCTGGGTGATCATGACAATGATCAACAACACAATACAAGTTTCCAGCCAACCACTGACCCAGTTTTCCCTAGATCTTATCGAGCTTCTCCGCCTTCACAATGGGGTTGGCTTTAGCAATTGCATCCTGTGCAGAGGTGCGATAATCAAAGGGGCAATTGTGTTTGTCGGAGTAACGATGAATAGCACAGAAGATATTACCACAACGACAGTCGAATCCCATTAATCCGACTCGCTTGTTGCAACTGTTGCAACGTCTAGGTCTGTCCTTAGGCTTCACTTCACTGCTCCCTTCAGAAACCATAGGAGATGCCTGCACTGAGATGATCTTAGGTTCCGCCAAACTAACTTGCACATCGACACTGGCGGTGACAAAGGGTTCATTTTGGTTAGAAGTAGACGATCCATTCATGATACTTCCAATAGTTGAAGCACTCAATTGAGCATGATCTTGTTTCAACATCAAATCCTTGTGGCACTTGGAACACATATTCATAGTAGCAGCACTTCCGAAAAAGCCACAGTTGTTAATGCACAGAAAGGGACCCTCAGGGGGAGCTTGACAGCTTGCCTCGTCATGTTCCATGTTCTCAATCTCCTGCAACACATTCACGTGAATTTGTTTCTTTTCTTTTTGGGTGGGAAACACATAAATTTCACTCAACAGCAGACTACACAAGGAACCAGGATGATGCTGTCAAGAATGAGAAACAGAAGCCAAGTATCGAGCTATGGAAAATACTTGTTTACCAAATACAATACAACTACTACTACCAACTAATAACTAGTGAAGAGCTTGAATACTTCAAATTTGATAACCATACAGGTGCCGATGAACAAAAAATGTTATTCGTGTACGTTTAGGGACGTGAAAAGGTTAAGTGTGATTTGTAGGTTAATTCCCATGTCTCAGAATACGTTAACCATAAATCTAAAAATGAAAAGTTAACACATTATAAATTGGAATTAGATGAAGAAAAGAACTTGCAACAATATTAAAAACATAGACTATAGACGAGAAAAAAAGAAAGAACAAGTTTCCATACAAGGTCATTCTAACAGAGGATTCATATCACATATACCTACATAATCAGCAGAAACATAAGATAGGTAAAGAGGACCAAAAGAATCAAAAGATTTAATAGTTAAGTCGCTAGAGTGAAAAGATATGTTCCTTCATTATAAAACTATAGTTGAAATCCACACGCCGTCAATGAGAAAAATGGCAATAATTTTTCCCACACCAGGACGTTAGAACCCAGTATTGAGCCTTTATCAAATTACTCGTGGAATTATAAAGCATAAACTCACCACATACCTTTGACACTGCCCAACTATGATTTTGACAAACCAATTCGAAAAGTAAAGTGTAAATCATCTCAATGAACATTCAAAATTCTCGGAGTCCCTGTACTAACATTGAAAATTCCAGACTGAAACAATCATAATATCTACAAGCCAGTAAGATCCTTACAACAACAATCATCAGGAGAAACATTAATACACACGCATAAGAAACACATGGAAATTCCCCGTACCCTTTTTTCTGGGACGAAAAACCCTTAGAAACAAGGGTTTTCAACCGATCTCCGAGATAAAATTCGCGTCCAAGCAAAACCCCTGCGTAATCAAACGTAACAATGAAAAATAAGATTAAACTAAACGAAATTCATCTAAAAAACACAAGGAACTGAAGCCAAATCCTCAAAGATAACGATCCATTGGAGAAATTGAAAAAACAAACAGAAATGGGGATTAGCAACCCTAACCCTGGAAGGAACGGAATGGGCGATGAGAAATAGAGAAAGAAAAGTAAAAGGAAGAACGAAGGAATTATGTGCAATGTGTTATCTCCATTTACGAAGGCAAAATTTCTCCGGAAGGAAGAACTGTAGGCACTGATTGATGGCGACGAGGGGAAAGAACTTTATTAGCTGTGCAATTTCATCGGCATTCTCTCATTTTCCCTTTTCAGTTTTTTTTTTTCTTTTAATCACAAAATGTACAGTTAAAATGATATTGGAGAGAGGTTATAATCAACATACTCGTCTTTGCCTCCGACCTTGCTCGATATCACAATCGCACTTATGCGGTAACGAAACAACGATTATGCAACACTTGTTTTAACGTAGCAAACAAGCCAACCTTGAGAAATTTGGTCTTCGCGGACAATATCGACGTATGCTTTAGCCACGGGTCACGTTTGAAAATAATCTGAAAGAATTGAGAAATCAACGCTATATGACTATAAGCAAATAAAGAAACACCACGACTTAAATAACATGTAACTCAGGGTAGGAAGAATTAACGACTAGTCGTATTCTCCTGTAATACATTTTTGGGTATTTTAGTCCTAAGGGTATAGACATGATTTTGGTGAGTAGTCGTGTCATGAAATGGTAAAGACATATCTAAGATGAGAGCATGTAAAAGGGAGTTTAGAACGGATATGCGGATATGATAACACGTCTTGGACAAGCATGACTGAGACATCCGACCATAGACAACATGTCTTGGACAAGCATGACCATGACACCCGCTCTATTTTTTTACTTAATAAATAAATATATAGATTTCATGTGTAAAGGAGTTCATTTCCACTTTGAAATTTGAGTTTTTAATATTATATTTTGTTTATAAAATATTATTAAATTTATTAAGGTATTTAAGATTTTTTTAATAGAAATTATATTCGAAAATTGAAATAAATACTTTTTTTTCATTTTAAAAATATGCTTAAAAATGGGAGAAATTCATTTTCCAATCGACGTGGAGACAATGACTGAAATCGGAGACAAGAACAAGAACGGAAATAAGGAAAGCTTCCCTATATCTATTCTACCATGTGGAAATCTCTAATTATATTAAAATTGGCTAAGGATGAACGGAAAAATTTCTAAATAAACCTAGATTTCGTGTTCGAGAACACGAGGATCATACGTATCACTGAAAGATGCTTGCAAAAACAATACAGACCTTCTTAGCGAACTTCTTGAGCTGCCTAGGTTGCTCTTGACTTTACCTAAAAAGAAAAGTTTTTTCATTTCGAACCTTTTCAACTAAACTACACTTTTCAAACTAGTGCATTAAAAATGACGAATACAAATTCCACTCCGACAAGTTCAAGCAATGGAATTGCTCGAATGTAAAGTAAGGAAGAGGAACAAAGCAATCCGACATGAGACCGACAGTAATGCTCTATTAAAAGGCAAGTAGTAGTAAGGTAGAGTGGCTTTGAATGAGGAGCAAAACACAAGAAACACAAAAATGCTTGCCTGACACCACAATATTACTCAAAGTTAGATGCGGGAGAGGCATTACAGGGCCCAGTGAGCAGCAAAGTAAGCTAACCTGTCATCCTCAAAAGGAGATGTAAAGCCATCTAAAGAAGCAACATCACTATCACTAAACTCAATATTCAGTTCAGCTCTATAAATATTGCCACCCAAATTTGATATTACACCTCCATAACATTCTTCCTTCCTCTCCTTTCTTGCCTTTTGAGCTTTCTGTGCAGACATAAATGGCAAGATTCAGTGTCCACAGTGCGACGAGGTGGTTCACGGTGGCTGTGGTGCTTCTGTTTGCAGTGGCAAGAGCTCAAGACAGCGGAGGGCTTGCACCGTTGCCTGCTATGGATGCTGGGGCTGGATTTCAGGTGACATTTTCCAGTAGTCGAGTTCTGCTATCGACTTTCCTCTGCCTCGTTGCGCTTCTTTGCCACTAGATGTCAGAGTTTCCTGCTTTCTCATTGATGGTTTGTATGTATACGTTGATGTAACGATTGTGGCACTACTTTTTCTTCCTTTTTGGCCATGATACTATATATTTGGAACTTGATTCTACATGCTTTTGATATGAAATCTCAGAGGTATTATCAATAAAGAATGGTTTTTGATATGGATGAACAGAGAAAATGCTTTAGAAAGTATTAGAACACTCCGATAGGAACAGCTAAACGTGATGACAAAGTATCAGAGGAGATCATGTCCAAGCTACCGATAGCATATATTAATAACTGTAACAACTACGTGATGACAAAGTATAACAACTCAGATAGGAACAGCTAAACGTGATGACAAAGTATCAAAGGAGAACTTTCAGATAGGAACAATTACGCATATATTAAGTTAGCATAACTGTAACAACCATGTCCAAGCTACCGCAAGCATATATTGTCTTCTTTGGGCTTTCCCTTTTAGACTTCCCCTCAAAGTTTTTAAAACGCGTCTGCTAGGAAGAGGTTTCCACAATCTTATAAAGAATACTTCATTCCCCTCTCCAATCGATATGGAATCTCATAATCTATCATCCTTTGGGGCATAGCATCTTTGCTGGTACTCTTTCTCCTCTCCAATTAATGTGGGATCTCACAATCCACCCCCTTCGGGGCCCAACGTCCTCGCTGACACACCGCCCGGTGTCTACTCCCTTTGAAGTTTAGTGTCTTCGCTGGCACACCGCCTGGTGTCCATTCCCCTTTGGGGGCATACAAGCAAGGACGCTGGCCCCAAAAGGGAGTAGATTGTGAGATCCTACATCGATTGAAAAGGGAAACGAGTACCAGCAAGAACACTGAGCCCTGAAGGAGGGTGGATTGTGAGATCGCACATTGGTTGGGAGGAGAACGAAGCATTCTTTATAAGGGTGTGAAAAACTCTCCCCAGCAGACACATTTTAAAAATCTGAAAGAGAAACTCGAAAGGAAAAGTTCAAAGAAGCTAATATCTACCGGCGGTGAGCTTGTTACAACAATTAAGTTGCACTGCACAGTGCAGACAGTTCAGTTCCTTATGTGGCAATATCGAAGGAGAAAAACCAAACATCAAGAAAGCTCAATAGAATGATAAAGAAAAACTCTTCAATCTCAACGGTTGTTTGTCTGAATACAAGGATACTTACATCTGATCCGAATTAAAGCTAAAGAAACAAGTTCCTAACTGACCAAATATGAAAAAGGAGTCGAATGAACAAGACATAACATCCATCGACAATTTCATATCATCGAAAATAGTAAGGAATCACCAAAGATTTTGTTATTGCAAAACGAAGTTGAGATGTCGGTCACAAATGCCTCAAATCTAATCAAAATCAATAGCTATAACCCAACACGCAGGGTATACTACCTCACAAGAATATTTGATCAAGCAAATTCAAACAACTCATCACGTTTTCTCAAGCTAATGGTGTATGAATACTGGAACAAATATCAGACAAATAATTTAGAACAAATGTACCCATTGAATCAAGCGTGGTTCACCCCAAATTCTCGTTCCTCAATCTTCTTCTTCTTCTCGATTGCTGCCGCAACCTCCGCCCGCGTATACTTCTCACCGGGCATCCCAATTAATTTCTAAAACACCATATTTAAAAAAAAAATATTAATAAAATTATAAAACTATTATTAACACCACATTTATTAAAAATTAAAAATTAAAAAAAGTTATTTACATCAATATATATTAAAAATAAAAAGTTTAAAAAAACATTTATCTACCCCCATAATCCTTTCTAATTTCTTTTTACTAAAAATTTACTTTTAAAAGTTTAAAAATATATTTGAATTTTTAAACTGGATAATAATTATTGGACGATGAAAGTCCCACATAGACTAATTTAGGGAATGATAATGAGTTTATAAACAAAGAATACTCTCTCTATTGTTATGAGGCATTTCCGGGAATCTCAATGCAGTAAAAAATGACTAAAAACTAATAATTTTAAAAAAATTTAAATAAAATTATAAGTATTTAATTTGAAAGATTTTTTAAAGTTTTATTTTTTAAAAAAAAATTATTTTTAAAACTCTTTTAAAGTCTTAATTTAAGTATATTATTTAAAAATTTTAAAATTTAAAGAAATTAGAGATATTTTAATTAATTTAGAATTATTATTATTATCATCGTGGGTAGAATAAATTTGGGGTAAAGTGGATTCAAACGTTCAGGAACTCTGGAAGTCCTTCAAACCAGCCTTTGCCGCCATTTGCATCGTTCATCGTTCACGCTTCAGCTTGAGCTCCATGATCAGTCTTAATGTCAGTAATCTCATCTTCAGGTATCAACATTTGGTCCCAAGATCACCGTTCCAAATCCCCATAATTTTTCTACTCCACACTCACTCTCTTCCACATCACAAAGATAAACCCACCAATTGGAATACTTCTCACGCCCTGATTCAATCAAATCCACTTCTATCCCTCTTGGAAAAGTGCACTTCCATGACGCAGATGAGGCAAATTCATGCCCAAATGGTTTCAACTGGCTTGATCTCAGATGGGTTTGCTCTGAGTCGCCTTGTTGCGTTCTGTGCGATTTCCGAGTGGCGAAATCTTGACTATTGTGACAAACTTCTCGACAATGCTCCCAGCCCGAATGTTTTTTCTTGGAATGTGGCGATTAGGGGTTATTTAGAGAGTGAAAATCCCAGAAATGCTGTTCTTTTGTACAGGAAAATGCTGAGAAAAGGTGGGTCTACTCCTGATAATTATTCTTATCCTCTGTTGTTTAAAGCTTGTGCTGGTTTGTCGTTGAGTTTCACGGCTAATGAGATTCTTGGGCATGTAGTACAATTGGGTTTATATTCGGATTTGTTTGTGCACAATGCGATTATTCATGTACTGGTTTCTTGTGGAGAATTGTTGGCTGCACGTAAGGTGTTCGACGAAAGTTGCGTGAGAGATTTGGTTTCTTGGAACTCGATGATCAATGGGTATGTTAGGTGTGGGTTGGCAGACGAGGCATTGAATCTTTATTACAAGATGGAGGATCTGAAAGTGAAGCCAGATGAGGTCACAATGATTGGACTCGTTTCAGCTTCTGCCCAGCTTGAAAATGTAGCTCTCGGAAGAAAGCTTCATCAATTCACTGAAGAAATGGGTTTGAATTTGACCATTCCACTTGTCAATGCATTGATGGATATGTACATTAAGTGTAAGAATATTGAGGCTGCAAAAACACTATTTGAGAACATGACAAAGAAAACCATTGTTTCATGGACTACAATGGTTGTTGGATATGCCAAATGTGGAATGCTGGAAAGTGCTGTGATGCTGTTCAATGAGATGCCAGAGAAGGATGTCGTGCCATGGAATGCTTTAATTGGTGGCTTTGTTCAAGCCAAGCGTAGTAAGGAGGCTTTGGCTCTGTTTCACGAAATGCAAGCCAGCAATGTTGACCCAGATGAGGTTACTGTCGTTAGTTGTTTATCTGCATGCTCTCAACTTGGAGCACTAGATGTTGGAATTTGGATGCATCGTTTCGTTGATAAACAAAATCTTACTATGAACGTTGCCTTAGGAACTGCTCTAGTTGACATGTATGCTAAGTGTGGGAACATAAAAAAGGCTCTACAGGTTTTTGAGGAGATGCCAGGAAGAAACTCATTGACATGGACAGCTATAATTTGTGGTCTAGCACTTCATGGACAAGCACACGCTGCCATATCTTACTTCTCAGAGATGGTTAGCATTGGACTGGTGCCTGATGAGATCACCTTCATTGGGGTCTTATCGGCTTGTTGTCACGGTGGATTGGTTGATCAAGGTCGAGACTATTTTTATCAAATGAGCTCCAAATATGGTATCTCCCCAAAACTTAAGCATTATTCTTGCATGGTGGACCTTCTAGGTAGGGCTGGCTTCTTGGAAGAGGCAGAAGAGATTATTAGGAGCATGCCTTTTGAGGCAGATGCCGTAGTGTGGGGAGCATTGTTCTTTGGCAGCCGTATGCATGGAAATGTTCATATAGGAGAAAGAGCGGCTTTTAAGCTTCTTGAATTGGATCCTCATGATAGTGGAATTTATGTTTTGCTTGCAAATATGTATGGTGATGCTAATATGTGGGAGAAGGCAAGGAAGGTAAGAAAGATGATGGAAGAAAGAGGGGTCGAGAAAACACCTGGTTGTAGTTCAATTGAGATTAATGGTTTAGTTTATGAGTTTATAATTCGTGATAAGTCACATCCTCGATCTGAGAAAATGTACGAGTGTTTAACTTGGCTAACAAGACAACTTGAACTTGTTGAGGACGAAACATCTTCATTGAAAGAATTTTGAGGTTGTCATATTTGAGTTGACAAAGAGTAGGGCTCTAAAATATGCTCGACCAAGCTCCCTCTGACATGCTTGTGCTTTAAAAATGTCATCACTGGAAAGCTGTGTAGCTGCCCAGAGGATGCCTCCACAGTAAAGATTTGAAGATTACGAGATATCGTTTAAAGTCTTGGGGTTCAAGCTTGTCTGACTTAAAACCATTGGTATCTCCCACTGCTAGCCTTGAGTCGGTGAAGTCTTTCGATGATTAGTGAGAGATCAACAATGAATATAAGACAGAGTGGGGCTCTCCAACACCTCGGTTCAAAAAAGAATATTTAATAAAAGAATGCTTTCTAGTCTAGAAGTGATTCTGAAGAGTCTTTGTTACCTTGAGATGATGAAGGTCTACCTCTCAAAGCCCACAAAGCTTCTGCAGAAGGATAATCACTTGAATCTTCTGAATGGTAAGAATTTGTTCTGTACTGTAAGCAATGAGCTCCTTTCAAGCCTTTTCAGTTTCTTGACTTTTTGCATTTTCTTGTCCAGTTATAGTTGAAGCATGGCATCTTGGAAAAAGCTTCAAATAATTGAAATGAAAGCTAAACAGGTTCATATTCAGCTCATTTATTCTTGCCTCACCCATTCTATAACAAGTCACCAGCGAGTTTTTTACATTGAAGCATATGTAATAGTGGTTGGTGGGTATGATGATTCAGGTTTATGTGCTCAACGCTAGTGGCATCTCGGTTTCTTAAACCATGTCCCTTTGATTCCTTTGGATGAAGCAATTTTGAAATGGAGGTAGAACATAAATTGGTTTAAATCTTATTTGGGTCTCAAACTGTTCATGTTACATTTTTTTTTTTTTGTTCTCAAATCTTTCATGTCCTTGAACTTTCAAATGTTATCTTCTAGTCAAACTTACCTAAAAAAACCATTTCAGTGTTGATTTTTCAAGAAATTATTGGAACAGAACTTTTATAGGCAATATTACTTACCTGACAAATAGATGTTTGCAAACGTAAGTATTTGCCTTATGTAATATATATATATATATATATATATATATAATGTCTGGTTAGAAAACATGTCGAGATTTGTTTTTAAAAAAATAAGATTAAGATCATATTTATGCAAAGTCTAGATATGAAAATAGAATATTTGAAGTTAAATAAAAGACTATAAATAAAACTATTAAAAGTTTTAACACCAAAATAAGATTTAAACCATATATTAAAGTTTGGTCTATAGTATCATATGGTTATGGTCGTGTGGGGAACTCGTTATGTTGACTTCGTGTGCTGCATCACATTGTGACCATGAAACCAGAAAAATTGTTAAGAACCTTTATTTGCTCTCCTTTGACTTTTGTCTTATGTACATTATCTGTTTGTTCATCAATGTGATTGTATACTCTTTCCCCAGATTTTGGAACTGGCCTGCCTGAGTGTTAAAGTGCCCATAGGAAGGAAAGGCTTTGAGATTCATGTTCTGAAAAGTGACCTTGTGGTCGGGATCGCACTTCAAAAGAAATAAAGCTCAATCCATGTGTCCGGTGTAACTGGGTTAGAGGGAAGACACAAAGATTGCCACCGACAAAATTGGCCCAACACTGACACTGAGATGTGAAAGACGAGGAGCGAATGAGATTAAATACCTCAAAAGTCCTACCCATAAATGATGGATATTAGGTATTGTGCATATTGACTTGTGCATACTAAAAGTATCACATTAGTGGGGAACGTGTGAAGTCTCATCTGAGATATCTCAGGAAGAAGATGAAAAAATCGTGGTCAGCCCATAACCCATTGACATGAGGTATGTTATTTCTTGCAAATCTAAGTGTCATGATTCATGGAACCATATATTCCAAGTTGTTTACGTGATTTTTCATAATATATTTACAGTCCCTTTTTGTGATACAAGTTACTGATGATCAAAGTAGAAGTCATTTTGTATTATATTTAAGGGATTTCTGTGTTAGGAGTGAAGAAATTCTTTTATGTTCCATTAAGAAAGAACGACCATGAACATAGTTGTTTGAATTTTAAAAAAGTTAAAGGTTAGGGTTGAGATGGAGACTAGGATGGAGATGTGTTGTACACTATAATAATTAAAAAGGCGGAGGATAAGTCTAGGGTGAAGATCCTATTTGGAAAAGGAATGCGGAATATATAATCAATTAAAGAAATTCTAAGTCAATGCCAGAGTTGGGGGGGGGGGNGGGGGGGGGGGGGGGGGGGGGGGGGGGGGGGGGGGGGGGGGGGGGGGGGGGGGGGGGGGGGGGGGGGGGGGGGGGGGGGGGGGGGGGGGGGGGGTTGGGACCTAATAATTATAAAGAATTTCAAGAACAAGGACACACAATACCTAATAAAAGTTCACAAGTAACTTTTTCTTAAAATAAAGTTGGGACTAAGGTTAGAGAGAGTTAGAGAAGTGTAACATGTAAGAATAATTACAAAACATTTAGTGGTCGAGACAAGTATTGGTGCAACACCCCAAGCCCGCCACTAGCATATATTGTCTTCTTTGAGCCATTTTCCTTTTGGGTTTCTCCTCAAGGTTTTAAAACGCGTCTGTTAGAGAAAGGTTTCCACACCCTTATAAATAATGTTTCGTTCTCCTCTCCAACCGATGTGGGATCTCACAATTCACCCCTCTTTGGGGTCTAGCATCCTTGTTGACACTCGTTCCTTTCTCCAATCGATGTAAGACCCCCTCCCCCCAATCCGCTCCTCTTTGGGGTTCAGTGTCCTTGCTGGCACGCCGTCTCGTGTACACCCCACTTCGAGGCTCAGCCTCCTCGCTGGCACATCTCCCGATGTCTAGCTCTGATATCATTCGTAATGGCTCAAGTTCACCACTAGCAGATATTGTCCTCTTTGGGCTTTTCCTTTCGGGCTTCCCCTCAAGCTTTTTAAAATGCATGCTAGGGAGAGGTTTCCACACCCTTATAAAGAATGCGTCGTTCTCCTCTCAACCGATGTGAGATCTAAGACACGAAACAAACTATAAACTAAAAACCAAAAAACTTAGGATCAAAGTTAAGGATGTGGTATTCATTGTAGTAATTTTTAGTAAAGCTTAGGCTTGAATAAAGATCGGGTTTAAAGTGGGCGAGTACCTCGTGCCCTTATTTTCTACCCTTCCACCTATGTCACTTTCAAGTACATAATACTCTTTTACTGAAGGTCATCCAAACTCTTTGAAGAAGACACCCTCCAATGCTTGATCGAGTACTCACCAAGTTCCTAAAGTACACTAACTTATCCCTTTGTCGAAAGACTAACGCACTCCTCGAGATATGAATGAGGCCTTGATATGGATTACTTTAGTATTGTTGTACAAGATAGTTGGCCAACTACTTCCTATTTCTTAACCCAGAAAACATTTCAAATGTAAATCTTTAGATTTCGAGTGAAGTCAATAAAATTAGATCACCGAACGAGTAATTGTCACAACCACTATAGTTTCCAAAGGATTGAAGCATTGAAAGGTGAAAAACTGTAACATGATTGATTTGTTAAAGGGAAAAGAAATAGTAATGAGAGAAGAGAGTGGATGTGCGTTGCAGTTGTAGCAGATTAGGGAACAGAAGGAATAAAGAATAATATTCAGTGGTTGTCCTTTGCCTCCGCCTCAGGGTTTGGTCTTTCTCTTTCTGTTCCAGTTTCACATGTCTAAGTCTCTCAACTCTGACTGAAAAAGCAGTGTCTTATGTCCCATTTGCTAGGAGTTTTGTGATTGCTTTCTCCCATGCCAGACACCATCATCCAAATTGATTGGATTGACACCCATAATCACACTCAATTGCCCAACTAGTATTGAATCATCATTCTATTATTATTATTTTCCGCTGTTCATTAACTTTTCTGGTCCTGCTAGATTTAGCTCGTGTTTCTAAATGTCTAGCGATTTAGTCTATGAACTTCGGTACATAACCATTTCGTCTGGGTTGTTTAATCTTTGTAATGATTTAGTTTATGTTGCAAATACTGGTAATGTCTAGCGGAGTTCCTTATGTATATAGATTGATAAGTTGTCTACAAGTCGAGGCCCCTAATAATTAAAGTGTTCGTTGTGTGTTAGATCCCACATCAGTTGGGGAGGAGAACGAAACACCTTTTATAAGGGTGTGGAAACCTCTTCCTAGCAAATGAGTTTTAAAAATCTTGAGAGGAAGCCTGAAAGGGAAAGCCCAAAAATAAAAATATGTGCTAGCGGTGGGCTTGAACCGTAACAAATAGTATCAGAGCCAGACACCAAGCGATGTGCCAGCGAAAAGGCTGTTCTCTGAATGGGGGTAGACATGAGACGGTGTGCTAGTAAGGACGCTGGGCCTCGAAGGGGGGGGGGGGATTGTTAGATCCCACATTGGTTGGGGAGGAGAACGAAACACCTTTTATAAGGATATGGAAACCTCTTCCTAGCAAACGAGTTTTAAAAACCTTGAGGGGAAGCTCGAAAGGAAAAGCCCAAAAAAGACAATATCTGATAGCAGTGGGCTTGGACCGTTACGTTGTGATTGCCTTCAAAGAGTTCACCACAAGCCAATTTTAAAATGTGAATAGCTCGATATGAACTTTCTAAACAATCTTGAAAAGCACCAAAAACATTAAGAACTAAAGCATAGACTTACTTTTATTTCACTCAACCAATTGGCCTTTTTAGATATACCCTTTACTTTAATCTCTATTTCAATATGATATCCATATTCTTTTTTGTTATTTGTAGAATTTGGGTCCATATTTTAAAGCATTTGTCTTGATTCAAAAGTAGAAAAGAGGACCAATGAGGTAATGAGCATTAAGAATTGCTTTGAGGTATGCAAGCATATACTTATTATAATGTGTCTATGAACCTATGTTCATTCATTATGTCTTATGGAATCGAATGAGTCGACATGTAGGGTCTAGAGATTCCATATACAACCCGGTCACGATGCTTAATGTCAACTTATAGTCAAAACTTAGCTTTTATCTACATGGTACGTTGTGAACATTAGAGCTAAGATTTATTAAGATGACAAAATCACTGCACTCATGAACCACTTAACTTTGTTCAGGTCTGATAACTATTTAATTTTTAAAAATTAGGTGTACAAATATTAGTTTTACCTTGTTTCTTTGAAAACATTTAAGAAGATCGAGTTTAATTTTTTTTAAAAAAACAAAAAATTATATAATAATCATTGTATTAAAATCTTTTGATTTCTTTAAGATTATTAAATGAGTTTTTTTTTTTAATTTTAATAATCATTGTATTAAAATCTTTTGATTTCTTTCAAGATAATTAAATGAGTTTTTTTTTAATTTAGTTTATGATAATTTGAAATTTAATTATTTGGTATCTAAAATTCATTTTAAAAAATTATTATAATTCTCTTTAATCTCATCTCCTAAGTTCTTTATGCATGAAAACAATATTTAAACTTGAATTTAAAATATTATAATACTAATATTTAAACCCATATAGTAATTTATAGAAAATACAATATTGCTATATAAATTTAAATTTAAAGAAAAAAAACACTTTTTTTTTTTTTAATGTACTTCCATAAACTTTGCCTCCCTATTCTTAGATCTTCAAAAATAAAATTATTGAATTGGTTGAATATTGAAAAAGTCATCAAGCATGATTACATCGAAGAAAAACATATAAAGATGGGTGGAATAAAAAAAAAATGATTCGATGTAAAAAAAAAAAAAAAATTAAAGAGACTAAACTTTGTCTTGTCATCTGATGACGATGAAGACTGGTAATGAATAAAAATACCTGAGAAAAAGAAAACGAGCACTGCATAGCCAATGTCCTTTGAGTTTGGAGACTGTATGTATATCTTTTGATCTACATACATCCTAAATTGGGTAAATAAATTATTAGGTTGGAACCGAGTCGGAGAAACCGTTCATCAATGCCTATAAATATTTATCGTGGAACGAGATTTATTATTAGGTTGGAAGCGAGTCAGAGAAACTGCCCATCAATGTTTATTAATATTCATCTCCGTCTTTTAACCTAAACGGTTGAACGAGATTTTTCGATTGTGAACCAAACGGAAGAATCCAAGGAGAAAATGTGTTAGGAGAATGATTCTCAACAAAGCTTCCAACAATTACCAACTCACCTTTTCTTTCCAAATCAAGCCCAACCACTTCCAAACATATTTGCAATTTGGTCCTTTTTAAAACCCATTTTCTTGGTTTTCATCTATCCATTTTGCAATCCAACCCCTCAATTCATAAATTAATTCCATTTTAACCCCAACATTTAAATGTAAATATTTTATATTAACCAAATAGAAAAAAAAAATTATCAATATTAATGAAATTTTTATTTTTTTTAAAAAAAAACAAAGTTTAAGCCAAAATTTGCAAAGAAGCCCTTATATTTTGTCCAAATATGGAAGGAAGCCCTTATGACGCCCACGCGATCACCTGTCATTCAACGCGTGGCGCTCAGTCGCCTCCCACAAAAAGACAAACAGGCAATGCACTAAAATAATAATAATAATAAAATTAAATAATAAATAAATCAATCAATCAAAGTTATTTAATTTAGATCATAAATTTTAATTTTTGTATAGTTTTAAAAATTTCAAATTAATTTCTATAATTGGGTTAAATCATATAAAACTTAA